AAAATGTGCACCAGGGAGTTCAGCAGCTTCCTACTCCAGAAGGTGGCACTCTCCTTGGAGGGTTCCCATCCTCCAATACACGTCGACGCTCTATACTTACTCGCACTCCACTAGCCGCTAGGTGAGTGAGGCTTTCATTAATGCAGACATGTTATTCCATCAAAAAGTGACAAAAGTTTTTTATTTGATAAAAGTAACAGACATCATTTGAAATTTTTCCGTTTCCAATTCCAGGGAAACTCCAAAGAACCGCTATGTCTTCCGGAAGTGAGGTTACTGAAATCTTTTTTGTTTGATACAAAACAAGATGGACATAATATTATTTTATAAATTGTATTACTAGGGCAATATGTGCCAAAAGAAATTGTATACTTTAACGATGCTTCTAGTTTAGTTTGTCTTGTGTATATATGTTTCATTTATTTCATATTTGTATACATGTGTGTGAGTGTGTCTGTGTGTGTGCGTGTGTGCAAGTTTACATTGTTTTGTCTGCACATGCACTTATGTAACTGTACAAAAGGAAAGATGATTAGATGCTGATATAGTAGTGTGAAGTGGAGGAATTGAAATTGTGGTACTAGGACTTCAGCCATTCCTTTGCATCAGAATTGAGCCTATTATGATGATTATGTTATACAAATTTATACCACTGTAAGAGAAGTTTATCTACTGATATTCTAGTTTTAAGATTTTTCCAATTAAGTATTTTTGTAATAACCTTACATTCTGAAGTATTGCGTCACAGTTGTACAGATTTTGTTAATAACCTGTCTTTTAACCTTGTTACATCTGGTATGAATGCAACATCTAGTTTTCAATTATTACTGTTAGTCATGAGACAATACATTAAATATATACTACATTAATGCATGTAAATAATGGGTCAGGTCATAGCCAGACAAATTCTCTTAAACAGATGCTTTACTGTGAAATTGATTATAATCATTAGTGTTATTTTTTTTGTTTTTATTGACTATTTTTTATCTATCCACACCAAAGGAGTATTGCGAGATATGTATGTTTCTTTTATCTTATTTTTAATGTGCATTATTGATACATTTCACATTACTCGTAATTTTGCAGATAATCTATTCTTATTTTTTGTATTTTTTAGGAAACTTCTCACCTGAAGAAAATTATATATATTGTTGGACATGTATGTTTTCTTATTCCACATTTTTGGGAAAATGAAAGAAAGAATGAAGAGAGTTTACACAATTTAACTATAAAGTGAATTTCTTGAAGTGAAAGAAATGCCCAAATATTATCAATATCTTCAATCAGCATAATCATTTACAGACTGCCGTATACTTTTCAAAAAGTTGTGTTTGAATCATGGGCATGGTATTCCCTTGGTTAATTGCTTAACCCTTACCCCTTATGGGAGCCATGAGCAGTGACTTTTTATCTTCCCCACATGAACCATGGCCATTAATGAAGATTTTGTACCCTTATTAGGGTCACTCACAAAGGCTTGCCCATTTATCAACTAGCCCCATTAAATCCAATTAATCTGGTTTACCAACCCCTGATTCTTCTTTGATCACAACTCTACTGCTACTACACCCCTCTCCTCCTTGACACTTGCTGTCAATTGATCCATCCCGAATCATCCACCCAGGTTATAACTTAAACCTTAAAAAGACACCCCTTCCTTATTTCCAATATCCTTCACCCCATCTGCTCATTCGTCTTCATTTTCGACCTCTTCCTCCCTTATTACAACTCTTCAACCTTATTTCCCTCCTCCCCACTGTACTTTATCACTCCACACCACTCCCTATTACTTCTGTCCTCATCCCTCTTGAATACCCTATTTAGCCCAAGTGGGACCAATAGTGCCTCTAAAAACAATGTTTCTTTCAAGTTTCACGTCTTGTCACAGTTACATTGGAGTCCCAGGCCTATGCCCTACCAATCTGGTTGACCTCACTGGCAATTCTATTCCTGTCCAACCCCACTCCTCCCTTAACCCCTTGATGACGGGTGAAAAAAAAAACAAAAAACTCTGTGCTCTGGAGATCAATGGCAATGTGCTGACTTTGAGCGCAGGAGTTCGGTACATCAAGCCGAATCACCTGCTCATAGCGCTTTGGTGCGCTGCTGTGGCATACAGCTGTATGCCACAGATCAAGCAGTTTGTTTTGATGCCTAACGGCGTGACCCGTAAGGAAGGGGTTAATACTTGCAGTGCTTCCATCTCCTCGGGTGATTTCCCTGTTTGTCAGAAATGTTGGTGCTTTAGCCACCCTGCAGAGCACTGTCTTTGCATAGCCTGCCCAGTCATGTAGAAGTGCCAATTGTGGTGGCACTCTGCCTACAAGTTTAAGTCTGAGGTAACGGTTCTTTTTATGAGAGGCCAGACAGGGTGAGGTATTTTTTTCTGTCACTCCCTACTCCAATACCATCCTTTGCTTCACTCCTCGCCCCTTTACCTAAGTTGCCTCTACATCTTTCTCAGTACCATTTCCCCCTACTCCTCACCTTCCCATGTCTACTTTCCATATCTCCCAATCAAATCCTTTTTCCATTCTAAATCCTGATACTCCTATATCCACAATTTCTATGTCTGTCCCTACTCCTTGCCTTACCCATCACACCAGGCAATCCAAATGTTCCATGAAACTTCTGATACCAAACCCTCGCCACCACCCAATCTCCTGCCCCAATCCCAGGGTACTGCCCCTTTCTACCCTTATCATCCATTGAGTGCTCCAGAAGTACACCTTAATACAGTACACCATTGTGGTCTACACTTATCCATAGATGCCTTAGAGAGTTGAGAGCTTATATGTTGAATCAGGCCTACCATCCCTCTCCCTCTAAACTGTCCCTCAATCCCTTCTTTCTATCTTTACCTACTCCTTTCCCTACCCGCGTGGATGCTCTCCTCTCCCATTCACTCTTTCCTCATCTCTGATCCCTTCTTTTTTCTGCCCAAACGTTCCCTCCCTGGCTAGCACCTTCCTCCTGTATTTGCTCCTCTGTTTTTCATGGTACACCAAGATCAGATACTCTCCCGTCTGCTCTCACTCATTTTTCCATTTTTCCAGTACACACACACACACACAGATGGCTAGAAGTCTCTCTGGTGTTGGTTTTGCTGTAATCTTTCCTTTCTGTACTTTCAACTCTCCAGTTCCATCTGAATCCAGCATTCATACATAATTATATGTGATCCTTTTTGTGTTAGAATGCTCACCTCTCCCTTCCTCATCCTCCACAATCTTCACCGATTCCAGAAACTCATTGTCCCTCATACAATTTGTACATCCAATGAACTCCCCTTGACCACAAGATTCAGGACCAGTTGTTCATTCTGCACACGATACAAAACCAGTATTTTTTGCTGGATACCCATCTATGTTGAGATCCTTGGCAACGAACAGGCAGATGCCTTGGCACGCTCTGCCCATGTCCACATCCCATCAATTCTGATTTTCACTCTATTACCCCATTTCAAAACCTCGCTCTATATCTTTCTAGCCCAGCTGTACCACCAATTAACTACATACTATAAAATCCTTCATCTCATCATGATCAGTTCCATTCCATCAGTATAGACGCTGGGAAATTGTTCTTGCCATACTATGTACTGGTTACACTCGCCTCACGCATTCCTAGTGCATGTCACATTCTAATCCACCTCTATGCTCTTCATGGAATGTTCCTGTTTCAGTCCAACACATTCTGTTACTATGTTCCTGCTTAACTAAACCCGTATCTCTGCCTTTATTCACTTATCCTCTCTCCCTCGACTTGTACATCCTTTTGGAATCTCCTAAATTTTCCTTTGACGACCTGTTCTCCTTCTGGCTCATAAATATCCTCCATTTAATCTAATCGCCTTTCTCTCTTATCTTCTTTCCTCATTGATAACCCCTTAACTTACACTATACCCAATCAGCTCCCAATCTCTACAATTTACACTACTATACTATCCTATAGTATGGTAACCCTAGTCGTTAACTAATTTATACCCTATTGTTGCAATACTTAATACTAGCACATTTATTTGTTCTAACCATTAACCTTGATATACAAGAGCCAAGTTCTACTTAGAATATTCCTATTCAGTCAAAAAATGAAATGCCCTTGCAAATAATAGAATCCCACTACAGAAGATATTTACAGATGTATTAAGCAAGATGATTAATAATATTAAAATTACTTCAACATGAGACTCCCATTACTATTGTCGTTATTGTCGTGGGAGGCTAAGGAGACGTAGTCTGAGACCCAATGTTGGGGATCTCCCTTACCTTGGGCCTCAACCAATTTTGCATGTTTTTTTCTTCCCCTTTTTTCTCCTTATCTTTTCCAACTCCTTCCCCTGCCCCATTCCTAAGATGAGAGCCATGTAGTAAGTGAAAATACACAAGTACCAAATGAAGTAACATATCAAAATGCACCAATGGGAAAGAACAAAACCTAAAATTAAATTAAATAAACTGTCAAAAAAAAAAATGAATAGTGCTAAAGTAAAACAAAACCTCACATTAAGGGGCATATGAGAGGAATATCATGTGAGGCAAATAAACAAAGGACCATAATATCTAAGGCCAAAAATACTAAATTTACATAATGAGAAGATGCTGAATAAAAAGTGGAAATGGCTTAAATACACCAACAAAGTCGGGGAGAGAGTGAAATGCAGCCCAGGGGATTTTCTATAGTATTTATTGGAAGACATTCTCGTTGCTGGTCAAGTCAAGTCTCACCAACACCAATAACACTGACTCCTTAGACAGGTTGTGCAATGGCGAGCCCCTTAGTAGAACGCTGAAGAAGTCTGACATGGTGGGAAGTCACATGCGTTTTGGTTAAAACTGGGCTGAAAACCAGTCTCACTTAGGACCATCTATTTCTTTGGATTCTTTATTCTTCCTTAGGCATTAAATATACCTGACTGCAAGTCTCCTTGTCTATACCAGCAACACTACTGTCTAAAAGAAAGGATAAGTCACACACACACACACACACACACACACACACAC